GTCTTGTCCATGAATCCAAACCCATGAAGATCATATCAGTGTAACTGAAATTAAAACGTGCCAGAATCAAAGTGCAAAAAGAAATAAGGTGCACTGTGCCAAAGGCAGCTGTTTGAAATGAATCAAATATATAAACCATACCAAATATGGCAGAAAGAAGGGAAAATCTCCCAATGACTACCTAATCTGGCAGAAAATTTATTTCCATTTCTAAACAGTGTACTCAGGACTGAACATAAACAAGAATCATCGTCACCGAATCTAGTCCCCAAGGATGTGTTTACTAGTATACATTTCTTCAGCTAACATCCTCTCTCTTATCTGGTATTCCTTGATGACTCAGTCACTTTTAGTAGGAAATTGGTCCAATAACCAGGGCTCTAGTCGGGGGGGAGCTCTCAGGTACGGAGCTCCGGAAGAGAACCTCTAGGGGGCGGGGCGGTCACGTGGTGAAGCCCCGCCCCCTTCTTTACCCCGCCCTCTGCTTCGATCCTCATTCCGTTTGGGAATGAGGATGAAGCAGGAGGGTAAGTAGCCGGGCCTTCTGACACACTTCCGGTGATGTCAGGGGGTGTGGCCTTCTGTCACTTCCGGTGATGTCAGGGGGCGTGGCATATGCAAATAAGTTATGCTAATGAGTTATGCTAATGAGCTCCGGCAGCTCTTTTTCTACAACAAGACCCCTGCCAATAACTATATATTATAAATACCAGTTTTGATGAATTCAGTATAAGACAGAGTGAGGGGAACCCACTAAAAGGATATGTGTGTGTTGAAATTTTAATGGCTAGCCTTCTTAATGGATTGAAAGGGCTAAATAAAAACAAGGCTCTGTTGGCAGTAAATCGAAAGATTCTCCTTCTGGATGTTAGAACCATAAATGTCTGTAAAATACATATTAAAAGGTTTTAAATATAACATACTGTATAGAAAGAGAAAGTACGAATACACATACTTTCACTACTGACTAAAGATATAGCTTCAAAATAAATCAAATGTTAAAAAATACAGTGCAGTGCAAACTTTTGCAAGCATTATTGCATTGATCATCCATGTATTTTATACCATTGCATTGGAAAGCACGTGTCCTGACATCCATTAAGTATATGAATAAACTAACACAGAGAAAATAAATTCACAAATTGAGGGGACACTGATATAGTCTGGACTTGCAGGTACCAATGATCATAGAACGGTTGGTTTCAAAGGTAACAGGTTCAAGTTAAAACCCACAAACTTTGAGGATGTAACCACATTGATGAATGATCGGTTAGGCCTGTTGTGAAGTATATAGTGTAGAGCCTGAAAAAACAGGTTGCTTACCAGTAACTGGTGATCTTCGAGTGGTCATCTGTGCATTCACACCACCCGCCCTCCTTCCCCGCTGCTGTCAGCTTCTACATTTTTCTTAGGGGTTGATTCGTGGCAGTTTGACGGAACTGGTGGGATGTCCGCGCCCACCCCTCTGGGCATGCGTGGTGGGGTTCCTGCGCATGCCTGAGGTTTGGGCGTGAAAATCCATTAAGAGCTTGCTACAATACCAATCGATCCAGCGCAGGCGCACTGTATCCCATGGGTGTGAATGCACAGATGACCACTCGAAGATCATCAGTTACAGGTAAGCAACCTGTTTATCTCCTTCCCTCTAATGTCAGCTACCACACTTGGCTCTGTTTATAAGGCATCCTATGCCCTTGCCTCCTGTTGAGACCTCTCTGTCAGGCGTTTACTGCTTAGCCGAAGATAAAATCTGACGTCCCATGTTGTCACCGGTGGTTTTGCGGACGTCTAGGGTGTAGTGCCTGATGAAGGTGTTAGGCGTGGCCCAAGTTGTGGCTTTGCAAATGTCTTGCAACTGGACTCCCTTGAGAAATGCAGTGGATGTCGCGACAGCTCTTGTGGAATGAGTCCGAAGAGGGCCTGGCAACGGCTGTTTCGCAAGGAGGTAGCAAAGTTGTATTAGATCCACTTAGATAAATGCTGGGCTGTAATTGGAGTGCCCAGACAAGGGGTAGCGTATGAGACAAAAAGCTTTGACATTTGTCTGGTGGAGCGCGTCCTATCTAGATAAAAGAGAAGGGCCCGCTTCACATCCAAATTATGCATCAGCCTGTCTTCCTATGATTTCGGATCAGGAAAGAAATCAGGGAGGTAAACTTCAGACTGTAAATGGAATTCGGATACCACCTTGGGTAGGAAGGAAATGTCTGGCACCAGACGGACCCCATCCGGGAGGAAGGATAGATAAGGTGAGTCGTGTCTGAAAGCCAGGAGTTCGCCTACTCACCTGGCCAAGGTGATGGCAACTAGGAATGCCATCTTCCATGCCAAGAGTTTAAGTTGACAACTTACGAGTGGTTCGAAGGGTCGTCTTGTCAACTGTTGTAAGACCAAGGGAAGGTCCCATAAAGCGATTGGAGCTTTGACTGGAGGGTATAAACGTAGTAAACCTTTTAAAAACGCTTGGTAACCGGATGCGAGAACAGAGTGCATCCATCTATGTGAACATGAAACGCCGGTAACGCGGCTAAATACACCTTCAATGAGGAGTGGGTAAGTCCCGAGTCAGCTAGGGATAGGATAAAGGTAAAAACCTTATCGAGGCCAGCAGTTGTGGCCGTAAAAGCGTCTGTGTCCAGAAAGGAACAGAAGCGTTTCCACTTGTAATCATAGGATTTACGGGTGGACGCTTTCCGAGAATTCATGAGGACCTCAATCACACGAGACGAGAAGCCCTGGCCTGTATTCGCCATGCAGTCATCTTTAGCTGCAGAATGTTGTGGTGGAGAATAGGCCAATGAGACAGCTGGAGCAAGTCTGGCGACGATGGGAATTGGTAATACATTCCGGCCAACAGTTCTAGGATTGTGGAGAACCACGGCTGTCTCGGCCACCAAGGCGCTATCAGGATGACGTTTGCGTTGTCCTCGAGAATCTTTCTGACTACTCTGAGGAGTAGTGGCAGGGGGGGAACATGTAGAGGAGTGAGGTGGACCATGGGTAAAGGAGGCCGTCCCCGAGAAATAACGGGTCGCTGCCTCCCCGACTGCAGAAATGCTGGCATTTTGTGTTGTCTCTGGTTGCAAAAACGTCCACTTGGGGACCTCCCCACATGTGGAAGAGAGGAGACAGGTATGCGGGGTTTAATCCCCATTCGTGTAGGCTGAGTCCCGAGCGGCTGAGTTGGTCCGCTTCCGTGTTCAGATGACCCGGAATGTGAACTGCGATGAGGAATATATTGTGGTCGATACAGAAGTCCCACAGGGCGATGGCCAGATTGCAGAGTCGTACCGACACTGTGCCTCCCTGCCTGTTGACATATGACAGAGCAGTTGTGTTGTCTGTCAGGATTGTGACACATTTTCCCGTGAGTAATGGACGGAAACTGGTAACAGCGTGTCGTATGGCCATCAGCTCTAGATAGTTGATGTGACGAAGACTGGTACGCTCGTCCCACATGTCTCCTATGGAGAGTCCCATGGAATGAGCTCCCCATCCTTTCAAGGAAGCGTCAGTCGTGACCGTTATCTCTGGAGATTGGATGGCAGGGTCCACCATCGCAAGGATTCCAGGACGCTTGGAGGAGGAGACAGCACAACCTTGTGTGGGTCCCTCGTTAAGTTGTAATTGCGGAGGAACCACAGTTGCAGCAGGTGCATTCTGAGCTTCGCAAAGACCAGGACCGCCGTTGTCGATGTCATAAGACCAAGCAACCGCTGGACTTGGAAGGCTGTTGCTGACAGTTGCGTAAAATATGGAAATATGCGTCTTGGAGGTCAAGGTTGGCCATCCAGACGCGTTCTTGGAGCAACGGTAGAATTTGTTGTAGAGACACCATGCGGAAGGGGTGGTAGGTTACAAACCTCAGTTCTCTGAGGTCTAGAATGGGTCGAAGACCTCCATCTCTTTTCAGGACTGTGAAGTACCGGGAGTAGAATCCCGTCCCCTGGAGTTGAGATGGAACAGGCTCGATAGCTCCCTTTTGCAGAAGGAGGGACACCTCTTTGAGGAGAGGTGGGGAGGGTGATGTGAGGACGACTGTAGGTGTATAGGGGGTCTGATCGAATTGGATCCTGTAGCCCCGGGTTAAGATGGAGAGAACCCACTCGTCCGAAGTGATGTGACGCCAGGAACGGATGAAGGGAAATAAACGGGTTTGTGCTGACTCGGGAACAGGGAAGTCAAAAGCTCTGTTTGGATGACTTGGCCTGCTTGGTGTGGGACTTTTGCTGGGTAGGGCCAGTCTTCGTTCTTTGGAAGGAAGACTTCTGGCTACCGGAGTATGATCTAGGTCTCCATCTCGTATCTGGAGATTGACGCGATGTTGTGCCCCTTTGCCAAGGACAAGACCATGTTTGCATTTTGTTTGGGTGTCGGGATGTGGAGGAGATCCCTAGAGACCGAGAGGCCTTAATGCTCTTGTCTAGGTTCCACAACGAGGAATCCGTAGTTGCGTGAAAGAGGCCCAGACCATCAAAGGGCATATCTTCGACTAATGAACGAGTGTCGAAAGGGAGAGAAGTACTTCTCAGCCATGAATGTCGTCTAAGTGTCACCGCCGAAGCCATGGTCTTCGAGGAGGCTTCCAAGACATGCTTGGTCGTGGTTAGTTGTTGTTTGGCGACCACCACGCCTTCTTTTTGAAGCAGTTTGGCGGCATACAATTTGTCTTCAGGCAAATGTACCAGGAGATTGGACATCTGCTCCCACAGGGTATACTGGTACCGATTCATACATGTGAGGTAGTTTGATGCCTTCACAGCCAACGCTCCCGTTGAATAACAACGGCAGCCAAAAGTGTCTAACTTTTTACCTTCCCTGTCAGCAGGCGTTGAATGCGACTTTTTCGACTTTGACGATGAGGTGACAACTAATGAGTTAGGTTGTGGGTGGGAAAGTAGAAATTCTGCCTCAGGTTGCTGTATACGATACATATGGTCTAAGTAGAGACGGGGGTGGACGACGGTTTTTGCCAAGGAGTTTTTGCGGCTTGTAGTAAGATGGATGACATAGGGAGTTCGACGACTGATGACGTGTCCAGTTGGACAATATCATATAAGGAATCTGTAGATTGTGGATCCTTATGGACAATTGACAATCCCAACGCATGGGCCATTCTTTTCATGAGGTCGGTGTACGTAGATAAGTTATCCGACGAGGATATTGGAATATTTTGGAAAACTTCGGTATTGGGAGACGAGTTGTCTGGCGACGTTGGGGCCTCGGAAGGTTCGGTATCGGAATCAGACTCAGAGGGCTCGGAAGAATCAGGTTCATCTGCCGGGGCAGGTAAAGGAGGTTGATGAGGGGCTAGTGCAGGCGGCTGGACTGGTGCAGCCGGTGTGTGCTCCAGATGTTTTCTAGGAGTAGGTAGGGGTTGGACGGTAGATGTTCCCGATGGTGGAACATTGTCTGGTTGGGGAGGACGAGAGACCGTAGCGGATGGTCTAGATCCTCTTGGAGAACGAGACCTGTGAGAAGATCGACAGGAGTACCTGTCCCAGTCAGTGTAACCCGCAGGGTTGAGCCAAGGCATAGGTGGATGGTAAGGACCATACAGGTAACGGAGTTGCCTCTCATCCCACGACATCGGAGGTGGCATATACGACCTCGGGAAACGACTCCTCGACCTCAGACATCGCGGGGAGAAATTTGAAGGAAGAGCAGATGTGCCTCTTCTACAAACAAAGGCGTCGATATCGACAGACTCAGGCAGTAAACAGGGAGGACGACGCTCCACACTGGATCTCAAGCGTCGATGCCATCAGCCGTCGGGCGGCTCTGAGACGATCGAAGCCGACGAGCTCATTGGACCAGGGGAAAACTCCGCACCCAATTGGTGACTTACGAGATCCGTGTGGTCGACATCGGACAAGGCCATCCCCACCTGGTGGTCTGGGGAATCAAGCACGTTGCCTGTGACACAACCTGATTCTCCGGTATCGAATCAGTCGGTATCGAATCAGTCGGTATCGAAGTAGGCAGTGGTGGCGGAGGTGGTAGGGCGGGAGCTTGTCGATATAGAACCCGAATCCTTTCTAACCTGCTTCGACGATTTGACAACCGTCTGTGACGCCACCACGGTCTTCGACCTCTTAGCCTTCTTAGCAGGAGTAGATGCTGTGGAAGGAACGTTCGGTACCTTGGATTTCGATTTCGAGCGGTCGGTATCGGAAATGGATTTAGTCTTCGATGCCGACTTTTTCAGCACCGATGTGTCAGTGATGGAAGACAGAGTCATTGACGATGAAACCGGCGGGTCAGCCATCGGTTGGAGGGCTGTTTCCAGAAGGAAAACTTTTAAACGAGCTGCTGTATTCTTCCTGGTCTGATTGGAAAATTGAGCACAATGTTCGCAGGAGTCTGGATTGTGGGATTCCCCCAGGCAGAAAATACAGTACTTATGACCGTCCAGAGGAGCCTATTTACTCCCGCAGCCTCTGCAATGATTAAAAAATCCCCACTTTTTCTTCTTTCCAGTCGTTTTCTCCAAAGACTGAGAAACGGTGAAAAGGCTTACTGGGAAGAAGGTTGGGGGGGGGGGGCAATGGCCCGAAGGCCTGAGGTAAATTTACCTCAGACGACAAAAATCAAAAATTCTTTTTTAAAAAAACGACGAGAGGAAAGGAAACTGAACTGAAACTGAGAGGAAAAAACAAGAGCCAATCGCTAAAAAGCGACTAAAACAGCGATCCGACCAGACCGATCGAAAAAAGGGTCTGCTCAGCGCGGCGGTAAGGAAAGAACTGGCGGGATGTCCGCGCCCGTCCCTCTGGGCATGCGCAGTGGAGCTCCTGCGCATGCCCGGAGGGGCTAGGCGCGAAAATCCATTAAAAGAGCTTGCCACAGCACCGGCAGATCCAGTGCAGGCGCACTAGATCCCATTGGTGTGAAGCACAGAGACCACGAAGAAGATCCTATGAAAATTAGTTTCAGCCTCATGGAATTATTTTATGTCAAAATAATCTTGTAATTTGGTTTGTGTTTTTTTAAAGTGATTAACCTCATGAGTTTTGTAATAGGGGTCCAGATCCTCCAGTGGTTCTCCAGTGAGCCATGGAGGGGGTTTTCCATACAAAGCAGGCAACTTTTTGCAAACTTTTAGATCAAGCTGTGGTCGAATAATTTCTTCTTCAATCTTTTCACCACTTCTCTCCTTTTCTTTCTTCTCAGCAAGTCTCTTTCTAATACCATCTAAGCTTTCAGGGGTGAAACGGAGGAAATTACTCGCTGTCGAAAATGAAAAGTTCGGCATCTTTCCCACTATATCTGCAAATAAGAACAGAACAAAAAAATCTGATTAACGCGAGGGGAAAAGCTGATAGTGAAAAACTGCATAATTCAGACGTGCCCAGGGAGTTTGCCCATAGTGTGGCATCAGCAAAGCGCATATTTGGCTAAGACTATTTAATGGCTCCTGGAGGATACTAGAGCTATGGACATTGCCTAGGACCTTGCATAAGAACTGAAGCTGGCTGAATTGGGCCACTTGAATGAGAAACACCAGGACTTAAAATAGATTTCTGATCTGAGATTGCTGCTGTTCATTGCAGGGAAAATCAACACTGGCCCCGGTCACATGGGAGGATTTGCCCCGCAAGAGGGACGGATCGGGGGTGCATCAAGTGGGCACGATCACACCGCAACATCTGGGAAGCATCATGCACCCATCCCTGATCCGGCCCTTCGGCCCAAAAACGCACATTTAAAAGGTAGTAGCAACAGAGCACTACCTTCTGGATGATGCAAGGCCACTCCAGGCGTCTGGTCGGGGAAGCGCTGGTAGCCCGTCACAGCCAGTACCGTTCCCCGTCCCACGCATGCGCACAACCGCGCTACTGCTGGTTTGCTGCACAACATGTGATCGGCTGCCAGAGCAGGGAGCACGGAGCCGCGGGCACACATTGGATTGTGCTCCCGCGGTTCTTTTTGCTCCAGCTCTAATTTGCCTCCCTTCGGCAGCGTGTGACCGGACCACTGCTGGGCAATCTGTCTTTCTGGAATCTTGTCTGCCATAACTGAACTACTCACCACTAACATACAGCATGAAATAAACAGTATGCTAATGTTTGATTTCTACAATCAGCACCAATAGTTAACAGTCAGTATGGGAATGGGTGGATTTCCCTCATTGTTCCTTATGATTTTTTTTTCCACAGTAAATTTTTATGCTTCTTACCTTCAAGTGTCACTATAAAAGAATTTCTAAAATGAATTCCAGAACTGGATCATGTACACTTTGCCACAGCTTTTGGTTTGGTTTGGTTCATTTCATTTTTTTCCTCTCTAGGTTACACCAATCTGCAAATGCACATTAAAAAAGGGCAGAAAAAAATCTCTATGTGATCTTATATTATGACTGAGGCAAGATTCTTTTGGTGTGGTGTTTTACTGCTGGGCTCAGTAATGTAATTTTTATAATATGTTTATATATTTATTATTTCCATTTATAGTCCACCTTTCTCACTAGGACCCGAGGCAGCTTACAGCTACGATAAAAACTTTTCAGTCATTCAGTAAGCCGATGGCAAGATATGACAAATTTGAATGTACAGCAAAAATTCCTAGCAAGACAAAAAATGCAGTTCGACTGGGATTGTAGAATGGGGGGGGGGGGGGACCGGGGGGTGATATATCTGTTTAAAGCAACAGAACAATCAGTGTAAGCAAGATTTTATCCCAGATAAAAGTCACCTCCTGAGCTGAACCATTAAGCCACTCCTTTGCTCCTTCTACAGGAAAGACCCATTGAACAGTTCTGTTTTGCACATTTTGCAGAATGATAGAGGCTTGCCAGTTTTCCTAATAGCCTCAGGGCAGCAGACTATTCCACAATGCAGGAGTCACCACAGAGAATCTGCCTGAACAGGTAATTGCCAATTTTACCTGTTTGCAGGGTGGCACCTTTAGAAGACCCTGCCTAGATAAGCAGAGCTGTTATAGCCAGATGACACTTCACTCAAGCATCAGTGCGAGAATCTTCTACTTTGTTTTGTAAATATTGGTTTTACACTGTGTGGATGCTCACAATTAAGCTCAAACTGCCCTGAGAGGTAGTCTGGTTAAAGAGAAAGAGCTAGTTATCTTCTCACCCCTTTCTCAATTCCTTCTAGATTCCAAACTGGAGAAACCATAAAATCAACAGTAGGGCAATTAATACAACCTAAGAGGGGAAAGGGAGAGACAGGACTCCAGCCTGGTCACGTAGGCAGTGACCTCTGAATGGTCTTAAGCTCACCTTTTCCCACTGTGGAGTATTTTCACATAGAGGTTAATGGGATGAAGGGTTTTCTTTCACAGGGAGGGGTAGTGATTAAGAAATTGTATGATCAAATATTTAATTGTATCATATTGTTGCCTCATTAAAAACCTGGATTTCTGATTAATCAAGCTAACCTTCAATAAGATGTAATTTGAGTGCTGAGCAAAGATAAGCCATATATTTGTTTATATTGTTTGAATATAAAAGCAATACAGAATTTGTCGAAATATGGAATTTTGAATCTGCCTGCGAACTACATGTTCCTGGAAAATTGTATGTAACTAATTGGAAAGTTAAAGTGTTGATTAGGCCACACCCATGGATAAACACCTGGAGTTATCATCATTAATTAATCTTTTTTCGGTAGGTTTTTATAGGGAAGAAAAATGCTTGGTGACAGAAAGTTATGTATGTTATGGATATTTTGTTTCATAACAGAATTGACTATGAGTCCTGTACACATGGTATATCTAAAGAAAATTATCTAGTTTCCCTATAACGTATAACAATTTTCCTTTATTATACACAGCCTCTGAAAGTTATTTTTATTCAATTTTAAGTGATACATCTGACTGTAGAATATCTGCTGTGTATTTTTGACTCGATATACTGAAATTGTATGCCCCATCATGGTTTATCTCTTCTGGGTTCAGTCTTTTTTACCTTACAGATGCTGACATCCCAGCTTTGGGCTTACATTTTTCTTTTTTTCAGCTAGTATTGTTACAGATCTGAAAGGCTTGCAAATTATGGTATTTCCTATTTATAACTAAAAAGAAAGGATTCTGAAAAACGTTATATGTGATTTGTATGAATCTAACTTAACTATGTTAACAGCTGACATGACTGACTAGATTTCTGTCATAATATGAATATAGAGGCACAAGTGCAGAGATAATGTTTACATGTATAAAGTTAGGTTGCGCCTGCAGACAACTTGAGGATACAAGCTTGAGAGATGTGGGCGTGTACTGAGAAGCTCTGTCAGTCTCATCTGTGTGAGGCAGCCTGAAGTCTGATTGGCTGGATACAAGCTTGAGAGATGTGGGCGTGTACTGAGAAGCTCTGTCAGTCTCATCTGTGTGAGGCAGCCTGAAGTCTGATTGGCTGTCGCGACTGTCTTGGTCATACACAGAGATTCTGAGAGTGACAGTTATTCAGTTACTCTCTGTCAGTTGGTGTGTCTGTGAGCTTAACTGTTATTAGCTCTATGTTGATCTGTTATTATATACAAAGTTATTGTTTAATCATTCACCAGTTAATATTTATATAAACACCATTTGACTTAACCGTATTTGGTGTGGTTATTTTGAGTCTTCCACGAGAAACCATAACAACAACTATTTTCAACAATTTCCTGAAAAGGAGCCCTGTCTTAAGTGTGGCTAGAGGTGATCCTATTTTAACAAAAGCCTTAAATAAGTTTATGAACGCTAAGAGGTATACTGAATATGTGTATATTTGAGTATCAGTTTTCTCTTACTGTTTGATGGTTTGTTATCAATATGACTGAAAAGATCTGTTAAAATATTCTGTGGAATACCTTTTCTTTTAATGTTCATTATACAGACTACTAAATTCTATAAGGGCATCTCCAATATATTTTAAATTATATGTTCTGATTTATAAATCTTTCTTTCCGAATAGCTGTTAGAACTCTTACAGAGCAAATGATTAACCCTTGTTATTTCAGTATCTTGAATTACAAGTCTGCTTGAATTACAAGTCTGAGTTTGTCTGCTGATAATTTTCAATTTTATCTTTGAATCCTTATTAACCTTTTATAGATTTTACACTTTTACAGGTCAGTATTATTCCTCAACATGAAATTAATCAAACTCTGGAGCACGATGGAAGACAGGAGGGCCTGGCGTGATGTGGTCGATGGGGTCGTGAAGAGTCGGACTCGACTGTGCAACTGAACAACAACAACATTATTCCTCAGCCTCAGTTTGTCTGCAAAGGAGAGGATGTTACAGATACAGGCTGCCTTAGCC